GTCAGTCGGGCGGGAGCAGAGGCCGTTCACGCCAGGCCGGCTTTTCCAGTCCCTGTGCTTCTCTGCCGCGTCGCCCCTCCGTGACACCGCAGACCTGCTCCCTTTCGCAGCAGCTGATGCCCTGTCCAGCCCTATATTTTTCTAACTGACAGTGAGTGGTGTTGCCAAATGCCAGGGACCATGGTCACATCTGTTTGTCTCTCCTCTGCAGCTTGTCGGAGGCTGCTTGGGAACACATTTTATCCAGGGGGCAGCTTTCACTGGCCTCACTCTGGAAAGCCTCTGTTTGTAAGCGCGTGCAGTGCAGAGTTCCTATTGTCTTCTCTTTGAAATCATTCTGTTGGGCACTGCCTGCTTCAGTCCTTGTCAACTCCATGTCAGAAGCCAAGTTTTCAGGCAAGGTGGTTCTTACTAGGGCTCCCCCCACCCCCGGTTTGGTTTTTTGTTTGCTTGTTTAACTTTATTTCCTGCAGTTAAAACACCCAGCTTCCTACCTTCATGCCATTTTAAAGACTAGCTTGCAGCAAACAGTGGGATAATCCAAGTGAAATCTGTTTAAAAAGCGTAACAGAAAGGCAGGAGCTTCTTTATGATTTCTGCTTTTCTGATATGTAAGAGGAAAATTTTCAAAACAAATGTATGGGAAACTGTACTGAAAATCATAAGTGACAATGCTTAATTCATAAGGAAGGACTCTTATCTCTTTATCCATTCCGTTTAAAGACATATGCTTGTTCACCCCGTATGGAAGGTGTCAGTCATTATAAAGTGAGCACAGTTTTGATTTGTCCCCTCTTCTCCTCCCCAAGCAAAAACTAACCCAAACAAATATAGTGATAGTGTCCACTGCTGATTTCCTTCCAGCACCTTACAGAAGGATCTCAACAGTGTTTTTAGTAATTTGGGACCTGTTCATAGAACAATGTGGTGTTCTTCAAAACACCACAGCAAAAAACCAAAAACAAAAAAAAAGATACTAGCACCTTGAGTGGTAATCCAAGCGTTCTGCTTTACAAAGACAAATGGCTCATTTATACGGAAGAAACTCATTTGTTCGGACACTCATCGATTTTAAATTAAAAACTAAGTGCTGTTTTATGTGAAGAGTGACAACAGTAACAGAGTAGACCTTACTTAGTGTTAGTAACTCCAGCGCACCTGTCTGAAGGAGGAGAGGAGAGAGCGCAAGCCTCAGTGGGCTAATCTTTCCGATCAATAGTCCAGATCTCTCGGTGTGCTGCAGCAGACAGTCAGTTCTTGGCAGAATTACTGAAATACAGCTAGGTGTTCTTCTTATGGCTCAGGGCTTCCAGTTCAATCTGCTGACTTGACTAACTTTCTTCACCTTGAATGTCTGTCTGTCTCTTCCTTGATGTATCTGTGTTGTGGCTGGGGGAGGAGAGTTGAGTGGAAATATTATAGTCTGTTTGTTCTGTAAAGATACCCAAAAGGGACTTTTTGGCCCAGCAGATGCCAAAGAGGTTTAGAAGAGGGAGTTGTTTCTGAACTTTGTTATTTCACTATCTTTGTAAACAAGTCTTCCTAATCAAATTTTAAATAGTGTAAAAAAAATAAATAAAGTTTTAAAAGCAGTATTGAGAGAGTGATTTTAATGCAATTAAAATACTCCAATTATATACAACTAGTGCAAGAACAATGTAAGCAGAAACCAACCATAGTAATAGTTACAGTGAGCGCCTACTGTCTACCAGACTCAATTATTTCTCCAAATTTATTTCTTGAGAGAGACACTCCTGGCTAATGAATTTTATTAGCTTAGTTTGAGCTTTAAATGTATCTGAAAGTGATAAAGCAGCCCTCATGTTTCAAAATAACCCAGAAAGGTGATCACTTTTTGACTGCCTTCCCAGCCCTCCCCACCTCCTCGCCCAGATAACGCTAACACAAAGAAGTTTCATTGTAGGACAGCTTTGTATTATTCTTTAGTTATTATAACTGAGGTGAATGTCCTGGGAGGAAATGGGTGCCTGGACTATTGCAAACCTAATTGGTCTCCCTCTCCAAAGTTCCAACCCTGCGGACCCCGGGCTGCCTACCAGCCTTCCATGAATCTGATCAGCTTTCTCTCTTACGGTAAGACCTTGAAAGACTCCGCCTCCCCTGTGAGGCGCAGACTTCCTCATGGGGTATATACGGCATATATGGCTTCCATGATCCAGCCCCAACTTTCTTCCCCAGTCCTATTATGCTATCTTTCCCCCAATCACTGTTCTCCAGACCTCCTGAACTTTTCGTAAGTCTCTGACCAGAACAAACCCTTTACCACTTAAGGGTACTTTTGCTGTAGGTATCTAAAACCTGAACAGCAATGGCTCACATTGTAAGAACACTTACCATGTTTTATCAGGAGGACCAGAAATAAGTAGTCCGTGGGTTAGATTTTGAAGCTCAGTAATGGAAGGTCTGCTCTTCAGAATTCAGATTCCCACTCTTCAGAATGGCACTTTCCCCTCCTTCTCAGCTATTCCTGGCAATTCTAAAAGGGAAACTTTAGTCTTGCTAGAGAGAGGTTTCTAGGGGAATCGAGGATGTTAAAAGGTAATTATTTGCAAAAAGGTGAAATCAAAACTCTTAGATTATAAAATGAACACGTGCAAAAGATTTTGTTTAACTCATTAATGGGAGAACCAGGCAGATGTGAACAAGTAGTTCAAAGGAGAGATCAAAGCAGCACCAATTTATATGGAGTAAACCTGAAAAAACAAACCCATTGCCATCGAGTCGATTCTGACTCACAGCAGCCCTATAGGATGGAGTAGATTCGAACTGCCTACCTTTGGTGAGCAGCCCAGCTCTTAAAGGAATATTGAAATGAATGTGCAAATGGTCGCCGAACTGATTTTTCCACAGGGGAAAGGGTTGTCCCTCCAGTGGAAAGAATTCTTTTGCATGTCTATAGTCAAGAATTCGTGTGCTCTGCTTTCAGTTATCTGTAATTTAGGGTTGTAAGATAGCTCCTGTGGAATCTGAAGCAGACACACTGGAAGGGTAGGCTCTAAATGCATGTTTTCCATTGAAGCACAAATTTTCCTTTACAGAGGAAAAAAAATGTGTTCAACGCAGCGTGTTTAGAATTGTTATAAGGACTAAATAATGTAACTGCTGGTAGAAGTTAATAAAGTGGGTTGTGCCTGCCACCACCACTGCCTTCCCTGATTCACGTGTTTGACTTTATCATCCCGCTCACTGTTTAAACTCTTCCAGTAATAGGAATTCGATGTTCCATTTCCTTTGCATCTTCTTTCTCTTACCTACTCTCCCCACTTTCAACACCACTATGGAATTTTGTGCCAAGTCAATCAGACCAAACCCCATTGCCATTGAGTCAATTACGACTCATAGCAAGCCTATAGGACAGAGCAGAACTGCCGACCTTTTGGTGGGCGGCTGAGCTCTCAACTGCTGCACCACCAGGACTCCAGTAGATACTAATAAATGCTGACTAAATCCGTGAATGAATTAATGTTTCGTAAAAATACGTATTTTCTCTATGATATTTTAGTTTTAAAATTTAATTCGTATACAGTATAAAAAGTAGATGTGGTAGTAACTTGATTTTTCCTGGCACTCTGAGCCAAGACCACCCCTCAAAACCCGATCAAGGTTTCATATTTATTTATCTTAATGGACATTTAGGCATGTATTTCAGCAGAGCAAAGTTAGTCATTAACTAAATGAACTAATTTTTTTAAATATTTTTAATAATTATAAATTTTTCTGTTATAGAATAAAATCATAAACAAAAGGAAGAGAAAATTTGGCAAATACCCATGTAATATTAGCTATCGTGATAGATTTTTTACGGTATATTTATCTGGCTGTGTGTCCCTTGGATTAACCAGATCATAATTCCATTTCACTTTGTGCATAGTACATAGACCCTCTGTTGGAACTAACTTACTCCTTAGCACCAATTTTTCACTATCTTTAGCCATCTGAATGTGTGTATAAATATATATCTTTTTCCCTTTTGAATTAATTTTTTTCTTTTCTTTTTTTCTCTAATAATTGGTTGTTTTCTAATTGAGTCCTATACAAGCTCAGAATATCATCAGAGATCTCTATGAATTACTGAAAGAGCATGCGTTAATAATAAACACGCTCCACTGATTTCTGCCTTGTGGTCCCCAGGCCCTGTCCCAACCCCTAATTAGGGATTCTGATCCAGGAGGAAATTAACAATGTGCCCTTCTAATCTTGAAAAGTTTGAAGACTTTTAAATCTGTTCCATCTTTGTATTTTTCTTGATTTCCCATTGAGCCATTTCTAATTTTTCTCAAAATTCTTTCAATGTTCAAGATTTGACAGAATAACTAGTTCCAATAACAGCCGAAGATTCACTTCTCAGTTCCCAAGTGTTTTGTCTTACAAATATGATGCAATACCAGGGTAACCCGTGTAGCAGCAATAGGCCAGCATTAACTCATTCAGATGATGTTTTCTCACCTAGCTAATAAATAATTAAAGAATTCTAATCATATGAATCATAAGGGAGAGCATCACGATTTTCCTCCTATCTGTTTTAAATGTTTTAAGAGAATTCACTGCTGTATAATATCCTAAAAGAAATTGATCATACTTTTCCTGTAATAAATGTTGTTCTGACAGTAAAACATTAGTAACCAATTGATAACCTAGCAACAATCTTGGGATCTCTTTAGATAATTAATCTTAGCTATTTTCCTGTCAGAAGTAACAGTGCTTGATTTCATGTTGAGCCAGAAAGATTGCCAGTTTTGAAAATTAAAAAGCATTCCTTTTATATTATTCATTCCGGTAACAATTTATGATGGCGCATTTAGCTGCTGAATGCTTGTCAACAAACGTAATTATGTTTCGATATAAACAAGATTGGTGGTTTTACTATGCAGCTCCATCTTTGTTGAGAATGTTTTGATTTAGGTTCAGATTATACAAGCTGTGTATTTATGTGCCATTTTTTTTCCTCCTTCGTTAATAGTTTTTTCTGATAATTGTAGGCAAACAAGCATGCATTTAGGATCCTTGTGCACAGGAGATATCAAACGGAGAAGAAAAGCTGCCCCTTTGCCTGGACCTACGACAGCAGGTAAAAAAGGGACTGGCATGGAACACAAGTGTAAGTTTATAAATCATCATGAATAAAATCGAGTTAATTCTTGATCACGTGCACTGAACAACAGGCACAGTTGCAACAAACTATTAAAAACAAATCATGTTATTTGGTGTCGGGATTCATTTCAGGTTCCTTGTGGAGATTTTTCAAGCAATCGATAAAATATTTGCTACACACTTGCCCAGATGCAAGGCTTTGTGTGAAGTGTTAAAGCATAAAAAACTACAAAGGCTGAATCTTTGGCCTCAAGAAATTTACAGACTAGTTGGGAAGACAAGGCAAATCACCCCAGAAGAGATTAATAGGACTGAATTCAAAATCATAGCAGCAGCCTGGAAACGCAGGCCCCGGGTTGTCGTAGATGGAAACCTGGCCTGTAGACGGGGCAGTCTGGTATCTAGTCCCAGCTCTGCCGCAACCTTAGCTTCGTCTTTCTGTACTTAGTGTTAGCACTAGAGTAAAAAAATCTCTAATCATTTCCACCTCAAAAATCATGTCATTCTAATGATATGTCACGCTAATGAGTGTAGTAAATAAGAAAGACCGCCAGTGCAGAGCAGGGGGAATTCACTGTAGACCTGAGGGGACAGGAAGTCTTGGTGGAGGGGCAAAGACCCCCTAGGTTGGTGGTGAAGGATATGAATAAGATTCACATGTGTTGTAAAATCTTATGAAAGACAAATGGTAAGGGAAGACACATAGAAGTCAGTGGTAGGAGGCGGCCAACTGGGCATTAAAATGTAGATACCCACATGTGAATACACAACAGTTAACCATAATCCATTTGGGATGCAGCCAACTTGGCTGTGATAAAATGTTGTCAGCAAAGACAGTTGATCAGTTACAAAAAGTCATGGCCTTGACTTATTGCCTGGGATCCTTAACCATTCAAATTTATAAACTTTCTCTTGTTTGGGGAATCTTTGCTAGGAAAAGTGATTTTCTTCCCATAATTAATTATAGAATATGAAAATAAGATTCATGTCATCACGAGAGTAAGCAGCGAGAAGAAAAAGAGTTTGTTTGTTTTTTCTGGCATGGGGATTTCCAAGTAAATCAAAGCTGTGAGGCTTGTATTCTCTCTTTAGGGGGCTTCTTTCATACTTCAGCACTAGAAAATCGAAGAATAAAATTGGAACATTCGAATGCGGTTGTCTCTAGAAGGAAGTACATCGTGATGTTATGTGTGTGGTTGTAAGTCTTATACCTGATCTTCCTCTTCTCGCTGCATTGAATTGGAAGGATTGGAAGTAGGAAACACCTTTGTGTAGAGTGTATTTGTGTAGAATAATATTCACCACTTATTGGTCACCTAAGGAGCCCTGGGAAACCCTGGTGGCAGTGGTTAAGAGTTCAGCTGCTAACCATATAGGTCAGCAGTTCGAATCCACCAGGCGCTCCTTGGAAACCCTATGGGGCAGTTCTACTCTGTCCTATAGGGTCACTATGAGTCGGAATCGACTCATTGACAATGGGTTGTTTTTTTTTTTAAAGAGCCCTGGTGGCGCAATGGTTAACGCTCAGGTGCTAACTGAAAGCTCAGGGGTTCAAACCCACCAGCTGCTCCACAGGAGAAAGATGTGGCAGTCTGCCTCTGTAAAGATTACTGCCTTGGAAACCCTATGGGGCAGGTCTACTCTATCCTGTAGGGTCACTGTGAGTCGGAATTTACTGGACGGCAGTGATTTTTATTGGGTACTTACTGTATACTAGAAACTTTATTTTTTATCTTTACAACGATTGTGTGAGCGAGGCACTGTTATCATTTTACGGATCATAAAGGTAGGATTCAGAGAAGTGTTAAGTGAGCTACCTAAGATGATGTAATTATTGAAGGGCAGGTGAGGCTTCACACCTAGGTCTGTGTGACTCCTAAACGCATGTTCTTTCCATGACAGCCTATTTAGGCTTCTTTATGAGAATATATATGGAAGGACGGTCCTATTGTGTATGCTTACTCGAATCCACTCTTATATGTTGTATTATAGAAGGTTTATCTGGATATTGCTATGTAGAAAAAAGAGTATTCATTAAAATACTTCTAATATAGCTCTTCATAGAGGAACATATAGCCACATTTCAGAGCAAATACTTGTCATAAGTTCTCCAATTCAAGTCTCTCATAAAGCAGGTATTCAGTAGAATTCTTTAATATCCCCATTCCGGTTGAATGGTCCCCTGAATTCCCTTATCTTTCAGCGATTCGAACATTAGTGACAAAAACCGGACAAGAACAATTGTAGGAATACTCCTAAGCACCTTAGTGGAAAAGAGACTCTGAGGTCAGGTCTGAACACCCTGAACATACGTGAAGTGAGAAGGAAAACGGATGACGGCTGAGGAGAGGATAATATAATTATTTCTACAAGGCGATTGGATGTTCCACCTCCGTCGCATCAGAGAGAATCACTTATACTGAGCGTAGATATAAACATTAAAGTTCAGCCTAACACATTTTTTTTGTCTTAAGCTCACACTCGCGTATTCCCGGTATTTTATTCAGAACTTGTGATTCAGAATACCGATTTTATTACTAGGCGTTACATAAAGAATGAAATTCTTACTTCGAAGTCAATCTTTCTCATTTACTCAAAAAGCAGCAGAGAATCGTGTTCCTCATTTTCAAATACATTTTTAAAATCCCGTCAGAGAGGAGGAGAGTGAGGTTATTTAAAAGTTTTCAATTTTAAAGGGAATATCTTCTAATCGTAATGAGTCAACTCGAAGGTGAGGATCATTATCTAAATTCAAGTAGGAAATGCCTTTGCGTGAATACATATTGATGATGAGTTGTTGGTTATGAATCCTAGATCATTTTGTCTCTGAAAATTATAATTTTCAATTCTGGAACATAGTCCCATAATAATGAATCAGTTATATTTGTAAACTTTCAAAGTTGAGTTAGCGTGTAGAATTATTTTAAAGAGAATATCCAGGTGCTTTACAGATCCTTCCAGACTTCTCAAAGGACACATTGAATTGAGATATATCTTCAGGTGCCTTCTGCCTCTAGTCAACATTAAACCTAAGCTGCAAAAATGCAGTTGAAGGTAACTCTCTCATTTGAAAATAGAAATAAGAGTTAAAAGCCTTACAGCCTGAATGTGGTTTGAGAATCTCCTCCGGTTTATATGTGAAATATTATTCAGTCAAACAGCAGGCTTAGAAAAATTTTACCAGAAAAATTGTCAGAAAAACTACAATTAGGCACTTTAACTTTATAATCCCAAACTGGGTTTTTACAACAATTTATGCCTCGGTAGATGAACAGTTATACATTGTATAAATAAGCCACCAGTAAAACCAGTTGCCATCAATTCTGATTCCTGGTGGCCCCATTTGTGTCGGAGTAAAACCATGCTTCGCAGAGTTTTCAGGGACTGATTTTTCAGAAGTAGACCGTGTTATTGGTTGAGCGTTTATTAATTGTGACAGGAACACCAAATTTATTTCAGTGCTTTAGTTTATTTACTGCTCTTTCACCTTTGTATTTTGTATTGACAAAGTAAAATGAATATTGATAATGTTAGATATTGATTTTTAAACATATAGCTTGTTCTGTGTCTCATTCAAAGTCACAAACCAAAAGATAGTGGATGTCTCAGAAGCGGGGATGTAGATTTACTATTATAAAATTGAGAACTGTTGAAGCAAGAAGGTTTGCCAGCAGAATGCATTTTATAGTTTGAAAAATGTCATCTGTAAAGGTGAAGAAAAGCAGTGAACAAAATAGGAGGAATATTATTAACACTTTTTTAAAAAGGCAGTCAGCAGTATTGGTTACGGTCTGTGTTTTTGATAGAAGCCATCACTTATGGAGGATTTGATAGTAAAAAGATTTAGATATGTTGGCCCCTTTAGTTTTTAAAAATTTTGTCCACTCTAAATTACTAATTTGAATGTTATCCACAATTAGTATTGCCCGTTACTATTTTGCTTTCTGTTGTGCAAGAAATGAAATAATATCTTTGTGAAAATATTCATCAGAAGGAATCAACCTTTTTTCTTTACATTTTAAGTTATGCAAAAAGGTACCTATTGAAGTTGAATATGCCAGTATAGTTATTGCTCCAAGGCAGCTGTGTGGTTTCATGGACATGCGAGCTCTTGACAAGAAGCTATGTTACAACTTTTTGTGACTTTTCAACTTTTTCCTCCACATCCTACTGTGATTTCAATAGGAAAATGTCTGTATGAATATTTAATGCAATAAAGGCAAGTTGTAAATAATAATTATGGATGAAAATTTTTTTAATTAAAAGTCATACAGAAAGATGATCAGGAAATGTTCCATGTAACCAAGCTTCCATTGCAAGCTGCTAGATTCTTCATTTGTCCAAATTTGTCATATCAATAGTTATACTTTAATCTTGTTTTATCACTGGATCCATATGATCACTGACAAGATCATATGATCTTATCTCTTGTAGGATTTTAAACAGGCAGACTTTCCTTTTTGGATTGTTATTAATTTTGAAACCAGACTATATCTGAACATATAGCAGAAGGCTGGGAACTATACAACATTTTACCTCTTGAAACATAGACTACTAAACCACCTTTCAGTTTTGTGTTTTATTGGAGTCTTAATAAACAGCTCTCCATTCTCTTTCAGTATAGAGAACACTTAAGGAGAGAGTAAGCACGAATATTGGATAGAAAATTATTACATTTTTGACAGTATGACAGACTAAATAACAAGCCAGTACCCCAACTACAAAATACCTAGAAATGCTGAATGAAGTATAAAACCGTATTTTTAGATACTTAGCTGAGATTACAGGAAAGAAAAGGAAATTTTCAGGACCGAAAATGGTCCTGAAGAGCCCCCTCACTCTACCCACAATTCTCCCAGTCTAAGAAACCTTTGAGGCACGTTTGTTAGCACCACCACGGGGAGGGGAGCCCAGTGTAGGAACTGGGTGTTGGTGCCTTATTAAGTCAGAACCTGAAGAGCTCTATTGCCAGAAAAG